TTTTTTTGGGGGGGGGGAGTGGGGGGGAAATAGCCTTTTACGTAAGCCCTCTATTCCGGCGGTGGTAAGAGAACCGTCCGAATTAAGGGCTTATTTGTTGGGCTGCTCCATCTATTGGTGGGGAGCGTCACCTGCTGGAAACCGGGTCCAGCGTCCCATTGATACATCTTTTAGCACAGAAAATATCCCATTAACACATTTTAAAGCTCAGAGTGCGATGTTTATTGTTTCCTAGGGCTGTGACCATTTCTGTCGCATCCTGGGGCCCCGTTATCCCATAGAGCTGCCAGTATCACCCATCCCATATTGGAGCACCCCTTGTCTATTAGCCCTACCTTATTTAGCAGCCCCCCTAGTCACTATTGTTATGTCACTTTCTTTAAACCCTTGAAGCCTTTTAAGCCCTTTAAACCCTTTCCCTTCTCAGGGCCCATATAAAGCACATTCACAATCCTACTAGCCTGAGGATCCTTTTAAGCCCTTTAAACCCTTTCCCTTCTCAGGGCCCATACAAAGCACATTCATAATCCGACTAGCCTGAGGATCAGCAGGTGGTGGAATGCAATCCAATGCGTTGTCACTTTTGAAGTGTAATGTAGTCCTGCGTCTTAAAGGGAGCAACCACAGCACTGTGCACCTTGAGTCCTCAAACCGTTCTGTCGTAGCCTGTCCGATCACAGTATCCCTTCGCTAGACTTCCTTCGTGGTGTAAGGGCCCTGCTCCCTTAGATGCATCGGTGTTCCTGGTTCCAGTTGCGAGACAAGTGGCAGTGAGACGACGGTTGTTGCTCCAGTCCTTGGTGTCGTTACTGTTGTTGTTGTCTGTCAGTCCAACCTTCATTTGTCTCTCGTCTTGTTGCCAACCAGTTGAGCGGTTAGAAGGGAGTGAGCGGGGGGAGGTGGTGGAGGAACAACGGGGAGGGGGGGGGCACGGGTGAAGGGAGGTGGCAGTGGTGGCAGGCCAACGGGGGAGTGGCTGGGGCAGTGGTGACTGGACTGGGTGCCGCGGATGTGGCGGGGGGGGGGGTGTGATAGGTGGTTCGGGAGAAGGACAAAGTTAGGTTGAAGATAGGGAATCTGGAAATCAGCAAATGGTTTCCTCTACCAGGTGGGTTCCGTGGACCTCCATGGTTTCCATACGATGTTCAGATCAGCATCCAGGGCCGAAAACAATCCTTTGGCCCTTTAAGGTCCTGCCATATTTGCATGTAGGAGTCGCGGATCGCTTGTCTGGCAAGGGGGTCTTTCTCTTCAAAGTGTTGTTGTTTCAAGGACTTCCAGGCTTGATGGGTCTTAGCCCTGATGTCTTCCATGATGGCTTGTTGTGCCTGCTGCAATCCAAATTGGTGGCCCTTCCTTTCAAAGGAGCATCGGGCTCTCCATGCGAGCATGAGGAGGTGCAGCCTTGTGTAGGAAAAGAGGTTGGTCACGAATGGGGACCATTGGGTCAGCAGTCGTCTCTGTTCTCCGCGAAGTCCCATGGGGGTCGGATCACTCCGAAACGATAAAATCAGAAGGGTTTCCCCAAAAACGAATTGCCATCGTGCATTAGGACGGGAAAAGGCATCAAGGGGAGAGGGCCATGGCGGCGGAAGACAGAAACTTCGGCCGTCATGGGTTCGGGGGATAGGGGGTGGGTTCGAAGCCTTCAGGCCTCGTCATTGGCCTCACGAAGTGACCGGACCATCGGGTCTTTGCGGTAGAGGTGGTTGGTTCGAGAACTTCAAGCCTCGGCGTCGGACTCGCAGAGTCCGCGCGGAAGTTTCCGAGAGGGTGAAACGGCGGGAGGGCCCGTCGGCATCCGAATTTGAGATTGCGCGGGCAGCGCCTCCGCATTACGGGAGTGCTCGGGGAAACGTGTCGCTCCCTCGTAACCCAGGATCAAGCGTCACCAAGAACACGAGTCCCCCTGGCGACACCAGCGACACTCAAACCGCGGACGCCACGCGGCGTGAGCGGCCGACCAGGGCAACACAGTTAAACCCGTAAAGGGCAATATTAGAGTCGGGGAATCAAAACGATCAATCAAGACAAACCCGTTCCCCCTTGTATCACAAGCCCGAGGCGGGTCTTGCCAACACACTTGCTTTGTCCGCCTCAGCGCGCGCCGTACGTCCGCATCGCAGTAGACGCTGTCGTCATCTGTGATGGGGAAGGTCGGTAGCGAGATGAGACGATCGGAGGTACGCGATGAACACGGGCAAGATCCCGCGCTCCCGGTCATCCGAACCAACACCGACTCCATACAACACTCGATGCAGCCTTCTCTCTCAAGGTTAGTGCGTCGGGAAAAGATGGCGAAATCTAAGCTCTCTTCCCCTTGCGGGGGCGTCGACCACGCGCGCGGACGCCGGCGGTTGACGTCACCGGTGCGGGGACGAGAAGATCAAAGCAATGAATACCAGTTCGCAAAAAGAAAGAGACGAAAGGGAGAGAGAGAGTAAGTTACATCGAAACTGCGCGTGCGCGCAGGAAGGGCCGCGGAAGGGAGGGGGACAACGGGATTAACATACTCATACTCCTAAGCAGACGGTTCCCCAGTTCTGTTCCTCCGTCCCCGCCCGGATAGGTACATACACACATACATGCATGCAATCGACAACTCTTGACAGGACATCCAATCATTCAGAGACCTTTGACATCACTCATGCGCACAACAAGCTTCCCAATACTCGGGGCCTCACACACGCAGCATGCATAGACAAAGCAGCAATGGAGATAAAAGCGAGTCCTTCTTGTACACAAAAATTCTCAATTAACTGCCGCCCTCAGGCGTAGCCTTCAAAACTTCCCAAAACCACCGACCACCATAGCCACAAGGCCATGCCGCGGCCGGCGTCCAATCCCCACCACTGCTCAGTCCCTCCGACTGCTTCGCCCCGAGACTACCGCAGGTCCACCCCGCGTCGTCACTCCGCCCAGTCTTGGGCTCGTCGAGCCTGTTCGGCGCCGCGGACTTCTCGCATAGCTCGCGCAGCATTGCAGCCAAGATCAAAGAGAGAGAGAAGAGAGGGTTGCGCGGATTTTTAGCGCGGGAGGCGGCGGGTTGTCAGCGCGAGGTGCGGGCAGCGCATGTTGTAGATGAGCAGGACAGGAGGAAGGTGGGGAGTTAGAGGGTTCGACCTGCGGGATGGCATGGTCCTACGTGATTGGGGTGTCCGTTCAAGTGGTGCGCGGTTTCCCGCTCTCCACATTGATCCGAGCATCCCAACTACGCGGCCAATCACTTCGCGAAGTAAGGATCGAGCTGGGCGGAGGGGAAGACGAAGAGTCCTGCACGGGGGAAACGCGCACAGCAAGAACGGAAGATGGCGCGGGGATGCGAAGCAAGAAACGGGGGTGCGAGACGCGTGAAGAAGTCGGAGCTTAGGCACACGCGCGCAAAAATTCAAAAAGTCCCCACCGAAACCGTTTCTTGGTTTTCATAGCGCGACCACTATTCGCCCGCGCGGGAGTTATTAACCAAAAAAATGAAAAAGCCGTTTCAAAAAGAAAACAAAAGCAAAAAGAAAGAAAAACCCCTTTTTGTCCGCATCCGTTCCTCGGGGCTTCCGGGGGATTTTTCCTGAGGGATACGGGAAGCCGCGAGGTACGGGTCTGAGCTTATGACATCTGCGATACGCAGGGGGTTCCGAAAAATTAGCAGTCTCCCGACTGTTGAGGTCATCATGTCTTAGATGATCGGGCGGCCTCTTCATCGTCAGCTGGCCCGATCATCTTCCTAATCTACGTGGATGCATCTTGCATCCTACATCTCCTCCTCCCATAGTATACATCCGATCGGGCGTCCCCTTCATCGTCAGCTGACCCGATCAGTAAAAAAAGAATTTGTTTTTTTTTTAATTATTTTTTGTACACAGCGTGTCTCGACGCGCGAACTTTGGGCATAGGAGAAGAAGGTGATGAAGAGAAGGAGAAGGAGAGAAGAGGGGAGAGGTAGACGAGGGTGATCAGAGGAAGTGATCGATGTCGGGATTGAGAGGGAGTGGAATAGGTGGAAGAAAAGCGGTCATTGCCGCGGGAGTCGTCGGCGCATCTTCCTCATGGAAGTGGTGTTGGACGAACGAGGGGTAGAGGAAGGCCCCCGGCACATGAGACAGGACACGTGGTGCCAGATCCGCCACCGCTCGCACCACCCGCTTGCGCACCGATCGGGGCCCTGGACCTGTCATCACCACATGAGTCTCGGTGTAAGGCCGCCGCTCCCGCTTTTGCACCGCGAAGACAAGGAAGTGGTACATCACATTGGGACGCTACCCAGTCTCGTAGATGAGCGTCCCAGCCAGTCGCGCCGCAATACACCCTTGAAAAGGGGGTGTCAGATATGCCTCCCACGCCGGATCAGGGCGCGGCGCCCCCGCGATGGCCTCGAGCCTGATGGTGGTGGGCTCCACCATGAAATCCACCTCTCTCGGATGGACCGTCCGGCTCGGAGGAACTGCTAATGTCAATGATCGGGGCACCCCGGGGTGGCTGGCGGAAGTGGAGAGGTCCCGCGAGGACGGGGGGTCTGGATATGGGATTCGGTAATCCCATTCGGCTTCCTCCCCCGGCCGCTGCTGCTGCTGATGGCCCGACTCCATCAAGATTGAGATCGGGCACGCGCGGGAAGGGCGGCGATGGCACGACAGTCTCCTTAACGAGCGTCGCCTCACTCCTAGGCGCGGGGTCAAGATTCCGTGCACGCGCGGGCTGAATCACCTCCTCGCCGCCATTGATTCTGCTGCCTTGCGCTCCTGGCGACGGGTGGCGTTTCTTCCTCTTTGGCGTCTTCTTGGGGGCCTTGGGTGACTCTGGTCGGGGATACGACGAGGGAGGCCGCAACGGCTTTTCCTCCGGGAAGTCCTCCAACCTCTCCGCGCGCTGCGCAATGTAATCCGGGATGACGACCTCGTTGTACGTTCTCCACGGGGCCGTTGCCGTCCGCAATCGTGGCTGGATCTCCTCTTCCTCGCTCCCGATCACTTGCGCAATGGAGAGGAGCTCAAGATGTATGAGCTCCAACAATCCCGGATCGATCGTATGGAGCTGGGCGAATGGGTACAATGCCACCGTCCCCTCCTTCTGCGCTGGCTTGGGCCATTTGATGACGTAGTAGACGACGAAGTGCTCCCCAATGTAGTGGTCTTCGTGATCCACGAAGAATCGAAACATCCCCAACGCCACCGACTTGTACAGCGCACGGTGCAACTCCCACGCGTCTTCGTCTGCGAAGGGCAGCGGTTCGACGTCAGTTAGCTCCACCAGATACTCCGAGAACTCGTGCATAGGATAAGGGCCCTCTGTGAGTTGATAGGGGAGAGTGGTGTAAGAGATGAAGGGAGGCATTTAGTACGGGGCAGGGGGAAGAGCTTGTATGTTGAGAGGGGCACCAGGAAGCGCGGGGAGTTGTGGCACCAACGCGATTGGTCCGTCCTCTGCCTTGCGCAGCAGCGCTTCGTGGGCTGTGAATCGGTGCCCCCCCCGTCCTTGCACTCTTGCCACTGATCTGGCCGCCTGCACCGCGTATTCGCGCACAAAACTCCGCTCCAGCTCTCGACTCCGTTGCGGCAAGATCGTCAAGTCTCCGATAAAGGTAGCGACGCTATGTACGAAGTTGGGTGCCACCTGGAGCGCGCGGAACTCGATAAACACTCGAGTTGTTTCCCGCCCAGGCAACTGCGTCACGTCCACGTACACCCCCGCATACGTCAGCCGATCGCAAAGTAACGAGTATGCCGCCAGATCCGCAACCCCGGGCGCTGACACTTTCACCTGCTGAATGTCGTACCGCAACTGCCTTTCCTCATTGAACTGATGCCGCAACAAGCGATCTGCAAGCGGCGTCTGGAAATGCTCGAGGGGCTCATGCTCCGGCTGGCGATGGTTCATCCTGCTCCCTGAAACTCTCAGCACCAATGGACGAGGCAGATTGGGAAGAGGAGGAAGACGAAGAAGGGGAGGATGATCTCGCACGAGCGGGGGTCCGTATATGACCTAGCGATGGCTGAAAGGGCCGGAGCGCGGTAGCGTGCCGTGTCAGCGGTCAGGCCTGGAAGCTGTGACGGGGAATCAGCTTCACGGAGTGTTGTCCCTGTGCGCCAACTTCCGTTACCTCGTAAATGCCTGTGTAGCGCGGGTGGATCTTGGAGGAGCGAGCGGATTTCCGTACCTGCACCAAGTCCCCAACTTTATAGCGGGGCAGTGGTTCCACCGACGCATGCCGATTCTCGTAGTCACGGATCTGTCGTTGATGCGTCTGATCTACGGCCCGCTGTCGACGGCGAGCTAACGGGGGATAGGCCCTAGCCATTACGTCCATGTAGTGGCGGACCTTATCTCTGTGTTCGGCCCGTGTTGCTCTAACTTCCGTACCTACCAAGGGGGACAACTGCACCCGAGGGACACTATTGGTTCTCAGTTGAAAGGGGGACACCCCAGTACTACCGTGTGGGGTAGCCCGATAAACGGCCAAGATGTGGTCGACAATGACAGGCCAGGGCCTGGTGTCTCCCGCAGTGATATTCCGTCTAAGGGCGGTCTTAATCAGTCGGTTGGCATTCTCTACCAGGCCATTGGCTTGAGGCCAATGCCCCGGCGAGTAGATAATCTTAACGTCCGCCCTGACTAGGTGACATTCTACTTCGCCTTGAAATTATGACCCATCGTCTAGGTGTACCTCTTCTACATCTAGATGCATGCACAAAAATCGGTTTACATACCAGGCTACCTCCTGCGAATTCCGGCTGGTCATAGGGTACGCCTCGATCCATTTCGAGAAATGATCGAAGGCCACTAAAAGAACATTGAGTTCTCCCTAATCGATGGGACCTCTCGGAACATTGATATCCGTCGTGTCGATGCTAACCCTCTGAAAGGGGCGCTCTACACGAGTAGGCACCATCATCCGAAGCATCTGTACCGGCGCCTTGTCCGCCGCGCAGGCCGGGCAATTCTGGACGATGTATTTCACATCTTCCCGAATTCCTGACCAGTACCATCCATTCTTTTCGATGGCTTTTTCCGTGTACTTGACCGTGAAATAGACCGCATCCTCTTCATGAGCGGCTCGTGTCCAATCGAACCTAGCAAAAGGGTGCGGAACCGTCAACCAGCTAGACCCTCCGTCATCATCGACTTTTCGTTTTTGTAACGTCGGTCCCTGCCAACGATAGTCCTGCGCCCGCTCCGTGACTCTCCGCCGCTCGGCTTTGGTAAGTTCTGACAACGAGTCGCCTGACAGCCTCCGTAGCAACAGAAGGTCCATCCAAACTTCTGCCCGGTGGGCACTTGGCGCGAATCCGTCGGCTTTCCGTGCGTCCAAACACCGTTTCTCGGTAGGGACTTGGTCCGTTCTGCACTTAGGACAGATCCACGTCTTTTCACTTCGGTACCTAACGCATTGTCCGTGGGATTTGACCGCTTGACACTGACTACACTGCACCCACAAAAGAAAACTTGGCCCTCCCGGATGTGACCCTTCTTGGTCCGGGACCATAGGCAAGGTACAGAAGAAACAGGGACTTAGATGTGTTTCAGGGGACGAGTAGGGACTAGACGAGAGAGCGAGGGAGTTGGATGAGGGAAAAGAGGTAGCGCCTGCCATCTCCGGCAAAACCTCCATTCCGGACTCAGGCGTCGTCCTGGCGCAGCACGTGTAGCTCCCCGTAGCGAGGTTTCGTCGTCGCGACTTCGGGCCTTCACGGAATGAGTCGCTCGTTGGCAGGACACTTGTTGGGCGGCAGGAGGCGTGTCAATCCATCGGCGTTGCCATGCTGCCGCGTGGCACGGTGGCGGATGTCGAAGTCATAGTCCTGCAGACGCACCGCCCACCTTCCCAGCGTCCCCGTGTAGTTCGTGTTGTTGCGTAAGGACAGCAGCGGCTGATGATCCGTTACCAGCACCAATTTCTGGCCGTAAAGATACAGTCGAAAATGCTGAATCCCACACACCACCGCCAGACATTCGCCTTCGCACGCTTCGTAATTAGCCTGCGCCTGGCTCAGCGTCTTGGACGCATACTCAATGACGTGTTCCCTTCCGTCCGCCCCGTGCTGAGTCAGCACCGTCGATATCGCCTGCGGCTGCCAATCGGTGTACAGTGCGAACGGTCTTGTCAGGTTGGGACGCGCCAACACAGGAGCAGATGTCAGAGCCTCCTTCAACGCCTGAAACGCCGCTTCGCATTCCGGCGTCCCGATCAGCTGCTCCTCTTTCTTCAACATGTTCGTTAGGGGCTTCGCTACACCGGCGAACCCCTTGATGAAGCGTCGGTAATAGGATGCCAACCCTAAAAAAGGCCGAACCTGGGTGAGTGTGACCGGCGCAGGGGCTTCTTGAACTGCTGCCACCTTCCTCGGATCCGGTTTTAGTCCATCGACCGTGACGATGTACCCCAAGAATGAGATCTCCGACAAGAAGAACTCGCTTTTCTCCAAGGCCACTTTGAACCCCGCATCTTTTTGTGCATGCAAAACCCACTCAATGTATTCCACGTGGTATTCGTGTGTTTTTGAAAAAACCAAAATATCATCCATGTATACAATCACGCAGAAATTAATCAGGGGCTGGGTTAGTCGGGTTTTGTTAACGAACTCAGCGAAGGCCATATTCATGGCTCACTGAAACGTTGCAGGGGTGTTACAAATTCCCATGGGACACCGGACCCATTGCCACGTGCCCTCAAATAGGACAAAAGCGGTTTTGGGTCGGTCTTCCGGTCGGACTGCGACATGGTGAAAACCGTGTCGGATATCGAACTTGGAAAAGACTCGAGCGGACCTGATAGCATCTAATAAATCATCGATTCGCAGGAAGGGATACACATCTTTGGTAGTGATAGCGTTCAATTTTCGGTAGTCGATACACACCCGGACCGAACCATTTCGTTTTGGCACGAGGACCACGGGAAAAGACCACGGTCCCAGCGATGGTTCGACCCACCCCAACCGCTCAAATTCCTATACCCTTTCCAACGCCAGCTGTCTTTCTTTAAGGGAATATCGGTACGGTCGGCAATGTATCGGGGCGTGATCCCCGGTATCAATCGGGTGCTGTATCAAAGGGGTTAGCCCTATGTCGTGGTCCTGAATGCTGACGGCCTCAGGATAGGCCCGTATAACCGCCAGGAGGAGGCGTCTGTATTCATCCGGAACATGGGCTGGTAACTGAACTTTTACGGTTCCCCCAGGAAGGGAGACCGTCGTCGTAACCGTGGGGACCGCCGCGCTGGCATCGGGCGAGGCCCCAAACAAAGAGTTGTTGGTTTTCGCTGAAAGGACAGTCGCAATAAGTTGACTGTCCGCCGGACTCATCGGCTCGCTTTCCATGTCACTGTCACTGTCCAGTTCGGGTTCGGCCGAGGGTTCTACCGAAAAGGCCCGCGTCAGTTCCCTCGGTCCCCACCGATATTCCCTTGTTCGGGGTTGAAACGACACCCCCTCTTTCAAGAGTATCGCGGTTTTTTCATTCGTGAGTAGGGGCCGCGAAGGTCGAAAAGATAAATCGCACAACCCCCTAAGCTCGGTCAATCTTTCAGGTAGGGAGTCCGTCCTGAGATATAAGGACGCAGGGGCCTCCGAAAGGTCAGCTATTCGGGACACCCTCAGCAGGGGTTCCCCCTGCACCACGGAGGAGAACGCGTGCGACCAATTGGACTCGCTCCGAACTATTTCCAGGGGTTCTCGTCGCCAGGAATGGCGCCACCAACCCTGAACCCGGATTGGATATCGGTCGGGAACGTCAGTCTCGTCAGTTTCCGAGGTTTCATTTTTGCTTAGCTACAGGCGTCGGATCATATTGATTTGGTGGGCTTTCGTGGTGATTCGAGGCGGCGGTTGGGTACGCATACGCACCGCCAATCTCATTGGTATCGTTTGTGGTTTGGGGTGGGCCGATGTGAGCACCACCTCACAACTATCAAAATGCATTCGCGCTCCGACTGCCGCCTGCCACGAAATGCCTAGCAGAACATCATAAGCCTGTACATCTAGCACGATTGTCTCGCACAAACAATGTACCCGCCCCACCCGTATAGGCACGTTCGTTATCCGCCCTTTACAGTGAATGTTGTCTTCCGTAGCGGATATATACAGTTCATCCGAGCAGAGGGGCTGGACCTGTCCTTCCCTTCCCAACTGTTTCGTCAATCCCCCAGAAATGGCGACCGCTGACGATCCCGAGTCTAAGATGGCGGCCGTGGGGTTTCCCTAGACCTCGCAGTCACACTCAACGCTTTTCCAGGTTAGAGGGTAGGCTCGAAGTAATACCTCGGGTTTTTCCGAAGCAGAATCTAAGACTGGATCATTCTTATCCGGTTAGTTTCGTGCACCTTTGAGGTCGAGGGCTGCGACTCCTCGTTTGTGGGTAGGTCCCGTGGGACCGACTTTTTGCCCTTTCGACTTTCCTCGAATCGGCCCCTGTTTTTGAGGCATCGTTCGATCAACTTTTCTTTAGCCGCTTCGGAAATGGTTAGTAGATAGGGAATTGGGACGGAGATCCGTAGATCCAGGGCCTTCAAGGCATCCAATACGTCGATATGGTCATCCTTGTATTCAGGACCAGGTGCCGCAAGATCTTCGAACCCCGGTCGCCACGGCCCGAGGTCGCTTTTCTCGGTAATCCTTTGGACGTGACGTTGTCGAGCGCATCAGCCCCCGCGCGAGCGAGGGCCCTCCCGGTCGCGTCACGCAAGAGAAACTTAGTCTTTCAACTTTTTAGGGACAACTCGGGGACGACACGGCGACCCACGTCGACCCTTCGCTGCTCCGGCCGGGTGCGCCAGCTGTACATCCCACAGCCCCCTACGACAGGATAGGTTCCCGCGAGGCACAACTTACCTTCCCTAAGGGGCTGTCACCACCCTTAGGGGCGTATCCCTACCGAGCTACCGACCCACATGCGAAAGCTTTTATAATGCAATTGCAGAGGTAAGTCGGCCGAGGGCGTTTGCTCGTACGCTGTAACATAGGTACGCATGGTTAAACGCCAAAGTGGACCTGAACGTCATCCGTCCCTGGGGAGTTGATCTCCCAGGAATCAGACCGACGTCGGTCGACTAGGACGCAATATTCCAAGCGTAAGAAAATCTCAATCAATCCTAGTTCCTTCTTTCAAAGATAATCAAGAGTCACTCAGGCAAAGCCTTTTAAAAAAAAAAGACTCAGGTCAACGCAAGTTGACTTATCTTCCGAAATCAACCTATATATAATACAATCATGCATACGACAAAGGTTGACTTGGCTTCAACCAACACCTATCAATAAAAGATCAAAACACGACCAATACACAAGGCGACGCTTAAGTGGCGTCTGACTAAAATATCTTCAGTCTGCCTGCCAAACRGCTGGACTAACACGAMTTTTTCGACTCGATGAGATGCGTTGCCAAGTTCTTTCATTCCGTCCCATRCWGACTGCTAACAAGGAATACGAGCGCCCCAACTCTCAAGCAGAGTTGGAGTGCCGTTGTTTTAATAAYGACTCYACTACTTCTCTAACTTTGATGCGAATGYCATTTGCAAGTAGTCCGGCTACCACTATACGAGTMAGTACTCGACTTMAACGACCGAACATTGAATGCCTCATTGAGGTCAAGGATCCCTTTTCAAATTTCGTTGGTCGCTTTGTCCCCCTGGGCAATASTTACTCTTYCTGTTCYGCGAGTGATGAAATACCAGCYTGTGATATAAAGGTATTCAAGGCAATGTTCTAGACACATCTTCTTCTCAATTAGTCTGATTACCCCACGCTTGCACTTCTTAYGGTCCAACCCCATCCGCGAAGGTAGTRCMTAGTCGCACTCCGTCCATAGCTAGTGGACACACGAACTGGGCTTCTTATGGCGCCGGTTCCCCCCATTSRYCTGTGGCTCCTAASACGGYCACTAGAAGGGTAAACTTATACCCRTGCTTCTTAACGTGAGCCGCCAAGCGCTTAATSCCTTYTGTGAGAGACACACGYCCATCCCCTAGGAGGTGGTCTGGGATACCCCTYGTCCTCGCYTGAGCGAACCTCGGATCTCAGAAGTCGGGCTGGCTCCACCACGACAGCATAGTATCCCCCCGCCTAAGCGGTCCACTCCGAGTCRTTAAYAGAGTCGGCCCCGAAGGCAACGAACCCYGCCTCAGATGCCTCCTAGGGAAAGGAAATGCACTTACCACAGCAGATGGCCAGCCCCTTTTCGCCTGACGTCAAGAGCGAACCTAGACGAAGGAGGAGGTCACAGAGAAAAAGGCAGTCAGACAGACGGGCATAGATAGAGAGGGACATTCGGGAAAGAATGGGTAGCCTCGGGAAAAATCTATGTCCGATTCACTTCTTCTCCTTTGCGTGATCGCTTCGTTTCTCGTCGTCTACTCTCTTCCCATCCCTTCAGCATACACATAAGTGTGTGACAAAAAAAACAATCATCATCCCTTTGCTTCCGCTGCCATGATCAGATTTCTACCTCTTTTTCTTTTTCAGGCCTTCGTCGACTTACCTGCACATCAGATCAGACAAACAAATTCAAAACCAACACAATGCAAACCCATTCTCAAGTAAGACTCTCATTCACACGCGCATGCACACATCTCCTCTACCTTTTCAATGAACGCTCAAAGAACAGGGTCAAGCAAGTGTGGGTTCACACAGGCGTGAAGAGGACTGAGTCAGGCTAACTGACCTTGAGTGAAGCTGAACCAAAGATAGCAAATGGCCCACTCAAGAAAGCCGTATAAACCACACTCCAAAAATGAGAAGATCACCGCAGTAAAATGTCAGAAAAGTGATCCACACCACTCCCTCACGGATCGCCCACTGACACGGAATCCCCTCAGTGCCTCGGCGCTGTCACCACTGGCTACCCGTACCACTATGTCACCACTGTGTCGAGGCGTCGCCGCCGCAATATGCGGACAGCATAACATCAACACCACCTCAAAGCACACCCCCTCTTGACGACACTCCTCAAAATCGTTGTTGGCGCCGTAAAACCGGACAGCACATCCACACCACCACTATAAGAAACACCGCTGCTGCCGCAAAATTTCGGCAGCACTTCCGCGTCACCGCTGAAAAACCCAGCTGCAGCCGCAAAATTTCGGCAGCGCTTCCGCGTCACCACAAAAAAAAAATAGTCGCCGCCGCAAAATTTCGACAGCGCTTCCACACTACCGTAGATAAACCCGCTGTCGTCGCCGCGCTAAACGAACAACACCTCCCCTGCACTCCACCAGGTGCAGCGGCAGCTATGGCTGCCCTCACTCTCGTGCTCCCTGCAGTCCTCCACCACTTCTCTCTCTCTCTTCACCTCGCTGAGATGGCGGTTATGGCTGTGTTCTACAGCTATGGCCACTTCCAGCAGTTCTCCTCCCTCACTTGCAGTCCTCCACCAGTAGCACCGCCTCACAGCAGCAGCCAGCCAACATTCACTCAAGCGAATGCCTCAGCAGCATTGCCACAA